GCATAATATTTTTTTAAAAGTAAAAGATGTTTGTTGAGTTAAAAAAATTATATAATCATCATAGGTATTTATTACGGATCTGCGTAAGAAATAGTCAATATTATAAACGGTATACTATAATATAAGTTTATATATACGACAAACAATACAAAAGATGACATTAGGCACAATCTCTCTCCTCCATATTGTTTTTTGCTCTAAGGATGCCTTGGAACAAATTCTCTAAATCATAATCAAGAAGTGATTGTAGGACATTTGTTTTTCACCAGCATTGTGGCAAATAAATTTAGCCCATTTCAAAATAACGAAAATGGTCAAAAGCCAAATAAATAATTTATTTAAAAAAATGAAACATGAAAAGAAAATAAAGCAATTAGTTGGATAGAATATTAGAAAAAAGAGTCATTTAATCTTAAAGTTCAAAATTTCATGTGACTCTTGGGCCACACAAATTCTGGCCGAATATTAGAACATGAAAATTCTACACTAAATTCATTCTAAAAAGCAATACCAAATTTTATATATAGTCTTGATTCAATTAACCAATACGAACGTAGTACGTACTAGAAAAACTATAAATACACTTGCTACGTTTCGGCGCCGCGGTCCTCTCTCAGTCATATTCATATACATATGCATATATATATATATATATATATGTGTGTGTGTGTAATGTACTTGACTGATTGCTTTGAACTCCAAGTCATATTCGTATACATATGCATTTATATATATAATATGTATGTAGTATACTTGACTGATTGCTCCTGAATTCTAATAGATCGTTTATAGAATTGGAACTTAAAATTTAAATCAAGATGTTTAATTACGTGTATGCATAATAATACTTATATATATGTGCGTTTATATATACATAACAGTGATACAATATTCATTACTATATAATTAAAAGATCATGTGCAATCTTAGTCTAACAGTAAATTAATTCTCTGATTATTATTGATCAGAGAACACCATTTTAATCAAGATCTCTATGAGAGATTTGGCTAACATCTAAAATGATTCCCAATCCATGCATGTGAATTAAGGATTGCTGACAACCACTAGATCATGTTAATTTAAACCAAAACAACTCGAATCAAAATCAATGATATATGAACACAATATTTATGTATATATATATATATATATATATATATATATTCACGAGCGAAGCACTAACAAACATATATGCATGAAAATAACATGTAATAATTAATGCAGAGAGATAATCTCTTGGGATCATATATATATTTTGTTCGATATATAATCTAAAGGATTGAGTAAGGCTGAGAGATCAGAATAATTTTTTATCTTCTTTTTCTCTCTATGCTTTTCAATTTTTTGATGTGGGAAGGTATTCCTTGTGTCTGTATATCTATTATATATATACACATATATTTAAAGCAACTAATAAAGCTATATGTTCCTTGTCATTTCCCTTTCTCCTTTTCTTGATAAAGGAATAAGGGAGAGCAATTTGCATGTTGTACACCCCTGTACCTCACCAATCCTATATAATATATGTATTCATATATATATAAAATATGTATTCATATTATATATATATATATAAAATATATATAACTGTGCGTGTGATGCCACGATCCGTCCTCGCAATCTTTCTTTTATCTTTGGCGTAAAGTTGACATTCTTTTTCTGACTCTACCCATTCTCATTTCTCCTTCCTTTTCACTTATCTTTTTTCGACCACACGTGCAAGCACACGTGTGCTCATCCCCACACTCAAATTAAGTAGATATATATACTTTCCCACGGCATTGTAATTGTAACATACATGACCTATATGTACATCTGATACACTGTAATATTTATCGTAAAAGATTGAACAACATGGACGAATAATACAATCAATCGCTTTAATCTTGGCCAATAACCCTATTTATCTCAAACCTCAAAATATCACGGTAATAATGGAGAAATCATATGGATATTTTTCCCTGGTTAATATATACAATTACACATGTATTTTTGATAGTCATGTGTGCATGCATGCATGGCTAGCGACGTACTACCTTATTACGTACGATCAAGTAACCCTACAAACTAAACTGGCTCTTGGCCCCTCTGTTGAGCCGGTTATGGACCTTTTTTTTTTTGGCCTTGATCTGTATGTATAGATATATACACAATATTATGCTTCTTTTTGCAACTGATGTATTCATGGCCACATGTGAGACGCGAAAACTACATATCATAAGGAGTATATATGTATATGATATAAAATACAATTTTTTGACTTTATAACATCCAAAATTACCAAGATTCGAGTTGGTGATGACAAAAAGTTGATTTGTTTTTTAAAAAAATGAAAAAAAAAAAGGTGATGGATTTATCAACTTGTTAGCTTTTAATTGTGGAGAGAGTTTTCTAGACAAGGCATGCATGCATGCATTCTCGAGTTTTCAAGAAATTCAGTCATGGCAGATTAACCATAATAGTTTGTGTGTATATGCGTTCCTCGTTATCATTATAGGTGAATTTTTTTATAATTATAGATGAAGGAAAATATTAAAAATAATAAAAATAAAAGAAAAGAATTAATGGATGATATTGGGGACCTCAAGGCATAAGATCACTTTTCTTGGAAAAAAAAGCCGTGTGCTTGAAAGCGAGGGGATGCTTAGCTCACTAGCCTTTCTTTTAAGAAACAAACAATAATATTACATAACACATATACATATATATATGTACAGGAAAAATAGAAAATTTGGCGAAGAAAATGTGATGCAGATCTATTATTCTTGACGAACTGACATCATTTCACAGCCATAGGAAACATATATTATATATTTTGTTTTCTTGTAATCACCTATATTTTGGTCTAGTTAAAATATCAATTTATATTTTATTATAATTAACTTTTGTTTATGTCATTTATCATTTAACAATTTGTTCTTTTTGAAATGGGAATAAGATTTTGTTTTTTAGGTCGATAATTAGAATTTTTTTTTGCTACTAAATGAAAAAAAAAAAAAATAAAATAAACTGATCTCTAAATTTTTACGAGACGAGTCTTCAAAGTATCATAATAGTCAAGATATATCATATACTTCAGCTTATCACGTGTATGATAAATAAGATCGGTCAAACGATCTATTCAAGTATTACCCTCATGAATATATAAATGGTCTCTACGGTCAAGTCGCGACACTTTCTCTCATAATTAATAAAAAAATAATATAATACTAGAAGTCACATAAAATACCTAATTTTCTTCGACACTAAAAGAGTTCAAATATTTTTTCAATTAACCTTCAAGGTTGGCAGAGAATGGAATTAGGTTGATTTAGTAATAACCTTCACGTTGCCAAACAAGTTTATCCTGAATCTTATTCTCCATTCTAATTCTAGAATTAGCAACTTCAATACAAGTGCATGTTATTTGAGAAGAACATAAGAATTCACTCTACGGTCAAGTGCATGTTAGAAATAGAACTTCAAAATTATAATTTATATATATTTATAATTAATTACCATAAAATAAAAATAAGCTACTAACTATAATCCAACTGTTAATTAATTACCATAAGGTAATTACCAAAACGTAAAAACCATCCACTAAACATAATCAAACTCTTAACTATAATTATCCGTGAGGTTATTGAAAAACAACAATCTAATACAATCTTAAACTGCATTAAGATTCTGGTTTGATTGAAAAAAATTCAAAAATATAATCAGTCATTACATTAATAATAACCATGGATTAAAATTCTGTCTCTCACTACAATAATAATAATATAGATATATATAGCTGCTAGGCTGTATGTTTTTCTTTTTTCTTCAATTGGATGCGAATCTTATTACAGCAACGGAGAAGAAAAAAGAAAAGGTCCCCCTTTTGGATAATCCTAATGCTTTCTCTCCAACTCAACAGATGCCTACGAGATAGATATGGGCAAAAAATTACACCTTGTAAACTTTTTAACATTACTAAATCACATATGAAAATCTTTATATATATATATATATATATACACATACATACACACACACAGGACTATATATTTAATCCATATTATTTAAACTAGTTACCCAAATCTATTTAATCTATAGAGGTCCTTATATATATATATATATAGGACTCTTAACTATTTATATACACGAAACAATAATTTATTAGAAAATAAACTAAATTAATTCTCCCAAAATTTAAAATTAAAAGAATATAAGCTATTGTTTATGTAAATTTATAGGAAACATTCCGGACGCAGAACTCAACCAGATTTTAGAAAGACAGAAAAGCACATAAATTTAACAAAAACATGCAAATAGAATAAGAAATAATTTTAATTTTGCATGGATCCAACTAAATTCTGCTTTCTCGTTAATCCAAGTTATTAAGAAGAAGTTTGTAACAACAAGAACAAAGCAAAAAGTATCAGGAGTGAATATAAATATATAGATGTACATATATATATATATATGGTAAATTGTAAGTAGATAATAGTTCTAATAATGCGAAGCCGTACAAAGGACACACACGTCTCTAAAAAATTTTCCGTATACAAAAGATTCGTCACCTTCTTCTTTCACTTTCAAGTGATGATCGATGAGTTAATACGAAACCGACCCAAAAATCTGTGGAACATTCTCATTGTAATTTTCTTCACCACCAAAACTTTTTTTTAATTTCTTTTTAAAATTATTTTCAGTATTTGAAATGCTGATATTCATCATCCTCAACACTATATATACAAACCCTCCTACTAGCTTTCAAATCATCCTCAACAACAAAACTTCAAAGCCTTCAAGTTACTCACACCTCTTCTACCATTTCCTCACGCCTAATCGTTTACCGATACTTTTTATTATAACTTGCATTTTATACCCATTAAAGTCTGTCTCCTTCGTCCATTAATCAGATCATATATATAGAGTTTAGTGGTTTGTGGCGATGGAGAGATTGACAAAGATGGTGCAAGAGAAGCCGGTGGTGATCTTTAGCAAGAGCTCTTGCTGCATGTGCCACACGGTCAAGACTCTGATATGTGACTTCGGGGTGAATCCGGCGGTGCACGAGCTGGATGAGATACCAAGAGGGCGGGAGATCGAGCAGGCTCTGGCTCGGCTTGGGTGCAGTCCGACGGTGCCGGCGGTGTTCATAGGTGGTGAGCTTGTGGGTGGAGCCAGTGAAGTGATGAGTCTTCACCTCAGTCGCTCCTTAATCCCCCTGCTTAAAAGGGCTGGAGCTTTATGGGTTTAAAGTTGATTAATTAAATTAATCGGCGGCACCCATAATAAGCATCGTGTTCCTGTGATGATGATCATTTGCTAACTGGTTATTTACATATAGTGTATATCTATACACTTTGAAGATGACATATGAGATATCAGTAGGTAGGTGCCGGATGGAATATTATTAAAAACTACGTAATGGTACTAAATATTGCGAGTCCTTTATATATATATATATGAGTGTAGTAATGGTCTTTTTTGGTAATGTAATATATATATATATATATGTATATGTATTTACTGTTATATATACATATGGTCTCTTTTTCGTAATATGTAATGTTCCATGTATGATCCCTTTTGGTGATGTAACTTATTCAGCTTATAATAATAAATTAGTTACCGTTAATTAGCTCGGACTTCGTCATTTTCTCTATTTCTTTTTATTTGTATATTGACATGTGTGTTTAGATATATCAATTAAGAAGGCAAACAAAAGAAAATTGTATTCATTTAGTTTTTTTTTTTTTGGTAGGGAGTGGGTGAAGAGATAGATCTTCATTGATGAATATGATCGGGCTTGCTCTAATAGAAAAACTATATAGTTCATATATAGTCATTTAATAATTAAGTAATTTATGTGTCTCCTTATCTAAGATTATAATTTAAGAATTTAAATTAAATTAAAAGTAATATTAATGTTCTGACAACAACAAAACATATTCTATAAATACGTTAACTTTAAAATTCAAAAATATGGTCATAATGAGGATTGAACAACAAATTGATGTTAATATCGAAAGACATACACGAGGATGAATATTTCAATTTGAATTACAAATACATAAGATTATTAAAAAAACAAAAACAAAGATTTGCTTTTTGAAAATAAAGAATAGATTTCTTGAATAAAAAAATAATAATAACATCAAAAAAGAGGATACAAGAGATCCAAAAACAAAAAGACTACAACAAGAAGGGTCCAAAACAACACCAAAGTCACGAGAAGAAGTGAATACAATACATAAATAAACTAAAAAGGACATTATAATAAAAAATACAAACGCACCATAAAAACAAGGATAAACATGCTCAAAATTGCCCCTTCCTTGACAAATAAGCTCTCATAAATAAATTAGATTGTTTTCTAAAATATGGCATATACTACGAGGCTCTAAGACCTAATGTTCAAGTCATTGGATGACTGAAGTACCAACGTTTGGTGGTTGGATGCAATCCTCCATCGCTCAATAAAACTAGCTTTAAGCACCACACACTTGAGATTTAAAGCACAAGAAAATCTCTTAACACCACAACCCTCCATTAGTATCTGTTGAAAGTTACTAACTCTTCTGTATATCTACCTTTCACTTTTTGTATTAAAGATCATCATAATACCAACCATGATTGGTCATGTTAGAAATAACTCAAGAATATCATAGTAAATTACATAATAATTAAGTCTAAATTAAAAGATTGAGAAAAAATCTAAATAAGTAAATTACGTAATAATTAGTGCATATATAACAAGCATAAGATAATAATTAATCCATCAATTGCAAGTTGACTCACAAGTGGAGAAACAATTATTTATACAAAGATTAAATAGAGATAATGACTTAATTTTTAATAAATTATAGGAACCTAAAGTACTTTAATTACAACCTATTCCCAATCGAAGTGATAGTTGATTTAAAAATGTTTGATATTGACATGGATAACTAAAATTTGAGCTTAATAAATTGCTCTTCTATCGTCCCACCACAATACAAGAAAATGATTAGATGGAAGACCAAGTTTTTGAAATGTATAAATCACAGAAGCTCAATAATAATATAGCAACACTATTTGTATTCACTTCTAATGTAGGTATGGACAATCTTATTTTTTTTATTTTTTATAAAATAATATTAAACATCTCTTATAAAGAAAAAATTAGATTGGAACCATGATAGATTGCAAAATCAATAGTAAAGTGTTAATCATTAAGACAACCAATAAAATAAAATTCTAGTAAACATTACGCTTTGTTTTTTTTTTTTAAGTAAGCTAAGTTTATTAGTAAGAATAAACACAGAGTGCCAAGAGATGCAAAAACAAGTTTACACAACAGCCTATAAGAAGCAATTTATACACAATAGAATCGAGAAGGTCCAACAAAAACAACCAATAAAATCACTCAAGTAGGAGCACTCTCCTAAATAGGAGTAGGAAGGAAGATGCAAGTAAAACAAACATCTAAGACCTGAAATATGAAGAAATGAGGAGTAAATAAAGGTAAAAAAAAAATTACGCAATTACAAGTAGAACAAGACTATAAGTAAATCAAGTAGTTGGCAAGAAATGAGCCAAGAGAAAATTGTTAATGTTGTAGGTATGAGCTAATATGAACAAAAAGATCTTACTTTATAATATTTCAGTTTAAGACACGTTTTTTTTATACATTTAAATAGAGTTTTTTAATTAGCTAATAGTTTACACTTTTATAGTTGAGAGAGGTTGCTTTATGATTATGACATATTTTACTCAGTATAACTCTTAGAGTTTTTCTTGTCTTTATGTGGAATTGAGTTTTTTATCCATGAAGGTTTTGTTGTTGAGCATGATCAAAGTGATTTAAATGTATGAATTATGTTATATTTCACATTTGATATGTGTTTGAATGGTGAGAGACCTTCTTTTTCAGGTTGGCATTCAAGGTTGTAGGTGGTTTACTTTTATCCCTAGCCATGGTTTTGTGTTATTAATCCTTTGTTGGATTGTTCTCTAGTTGATTGATATTTCATTAATCTTATATTGTGTAACAATTATAATATTAACTGACTATTTATTGATAAAATTATTTTTTGATTTTAAAAGTTATAATTACCTCTATAAAAACAAGGAAAAAAAAAACAATTGTAACCCATAATGGAGTGATTGTTAGCATGACAAAGAGGTCTTTTCATAGTTGCCTAGTGTTTAGTTAACAAGTTATGCATTAATTAATATAGTTTATGAACAAAGAGTATAAAGTCTAAGTAGGTAAGCATATTAAAGTAAAAATATAAATAATTGAATGTCTATTGACAATTTGTAAACCTCATTTTAAACTTAACTACAAAGTTAAAATATATAGATTTAAAGAGTAAAACAAGATTCAAATCTTCTTTGATTGGATGATTGGTACTTCCCTCATTCTATTAAAAGATTGTGATTTTGAATTAGGTTGTGTATTTTTCATATATTTTTATTGGGAAGTTGTGTTAAGATTTATGTTTATGTGTCACCTAATTAATAAAAAGTACAAATTTTTCACACTTGTACAAACGTTTGTAATCTTGCCTTA